TTTTTCCAGTCATGTTTGACTCTTTGTGACCCCATTTGCAGTTTCTTGGCCAAAGAGCTTGGAGTGGTTTTCCATTTCCTTCTTCAGCACATTTTACAGGTGAGGAAATTGAGGCAAACAGGGTTCCCAACCATGTGAATTTGGGTAGCTTTTTTTGGGCTCTGTGGGCCTCAGTTTCCTCAACTGTAAAATGATGGCAATGAACCAGCTGAGCTTTAAATCTACAATCCTGTTAGGCCCAGAGAGATTAATTGACAGCTATTCTCTCTTATTCCAAATTCAATACACTTTCCTATTTACTACACTGCCTCCCAATGTTATGTAATACTGTTTTGTGACTGCCTCTTTGTTTTACAAGCAAAATATAAACTTTTAAAGCTTAACACTGATTATACTCTTTGACCTTGCAGTTTTCAAACTGGGAAAAATACATTGTTGTTGTTGGGTTGTTTCAGTTGTGTCCAACTCTTCATGACCCAGTCTGGGGTTTTCTTGGCCAAATACTGGAGTGGTTTGCCATTTCCTTCTCCAGCTCATTTTATAGATGAGGAAACTGAGGCAAAAGGGTTAAGTGACTTGCCCAGGGTCACACAGCTAGTAAGTGTCTGAAGTTGGATTTGAATTCAGGTTTTCCTGTCTCTAGGCCCAGCACTCTGTCCACTGTGCCACCTACCTGCCCTGGGAATAATATATACTGAATCTTTTTTTCTTTAAAAAGAAAAAAAATACTATTTACATAAATTTTATACCTGTATTACTTGTAACAGTGAAAAACTGGCAACAACCTAAATGCTCAATGAGTTGGGGGATAGCTGTAACTGTGATGCATCAGCAATGGAGTATTATGTCATCATTAAGAATGACCACTATTAGGTCATGTGGTATGGTAGGAATCCAGGCCCAGCTACTTACTAGCTGTGTGACTGATTTTTTTTGGGGGGGGGAAGGCAATAGGGTTAAGTGACTTGCCTAGGGTCAAGTGACTTGCCTAGGGTCATGCAGCTAGTAAGGATCGGAGGCTGCATTCTAACTCAGGTCCTCCTGACTTCAAGGACAGTGTGCTATTCACTGAGCCAACTAGCGTCCCGCTGTGTGACTGGGCAAATCACTTCTTTTTTCTGGGTCTCACTTTCCTTAGCTGTAAAGGATTAGATTCAACTCATTCCCTAAGGTCCCTTCCAGCTCTAACATGCTATGAATATGTGACTATAAAGAGATATGGAAATGCCAATATAAAATAATGCCAAGTAGAAAAAAACATTGACCCATAAGTATACTATGATACTTATGTGAATGAACAGAGATACAGAAAGGGAATTACTCGGTTGTTGGGAGTTATCATGGTTATTGATATGTTTAAGAATATTTTTCATTCTAGTCATGTGTACTAGGTTTTTCGTATAAATAATAATAGCTCACATTTATATGATATGTTAAGGTTAGCAAAATTCTTTCTTTAAAATAACCTTATAGTTCAAATCCAGCCTCAGACACTTGACACTTACTAGCTGTGTGACCCTGGGTAAGTCACTTAACCCTGATTGCTTCACCAAAAAAGCAAAATAAAATAAAATAAAATAAAATAACCTTGTAAGGTAACGCAGTACTATTATTATTATTATTATTACTCCCATTTTACAGATAAAGGAAATTAAGTTAAAAAGTTTAAATTAATAATAAGTGGCACAGTGGATAGAGCGATGGGCTTGCAGTCAGGAAGACTCATCGTCTGATTTCAAACCCATCCTCAAACACTTGCTAACTGTGTGACCCTGGGCAAGTCATTGAACCCTGTTTGCCTCAATTTCCTCATCTGTAAAATGAACCGGAGGAGGAAATGGCAAACCACTCTAGAATCTTTGACAAGAAAACCCCAAATGGGGTCATGAAGGGTTGGACATGACTGAGAAATTACTAAACAACAAAGTTAATAATAAAATTATTTTTAAAAATAAAAATGTTTAAAATGCAAACAGTAACAAAATAAATTAACCAGTAAATAAAGAAGAAAATTACACAGAACAAAATTTGCAAATTTATAACAAATGTCTGTCTACTTAATGCTGTTCATAGTTACCTGTCACTTAAGTTAAAGATGTGGTTTATTTGGCTTAATTAATTTTGAGACGTCTTTTATGAAACAAAAAGCCTAGTTAGTACCTAATGCAAATGCTAACCATAACAATCTTTTCAGATAGGACAATTTCCAAGTATTAGTTGTACTCATGAACACTAAATTGTTTCTCTCAATTAATACCTTTCGGGGCAGCTAGGTGAAGCAGTGGGTAGAGCACCTGCCCTGGAGTCAGGAGGACCTGAGTTCAAATGCTGCCTCAGACACATAATATTTCCTAGCTGTGTGACTCTGGGCAAGTCACTTAATCCAAATTGCCTCACCAAAAAACAAACAAACAAAAAACCCCCAAACAATTAATGCCTTTACTAAAAACTAATTTAAAAGTATACAGCGGGGCTTCTTAATCTTTTTTGTGTCCTATACCCCTATGGCAATCCAGTGAAGCCTATAGATCCCTTCTCAGAGTGATTTTTTAAGTGCAAAAAATAAAATACATTGACTTACAAAGGACACAAATTATATTCAAATTTTGGTGTTATTCAGTTGTTCTAATCATGTCCAACTCTCTGTGACCCCATTTGGGTTTTTTTTTTATTACAGTGGTTTGCCATTTCCTTCTCCAGTTCATTTTACAGTTGAGGAAACTGAGGCAAACAGGGTTAAGTGACTTGCCCAGGGTCACAGAGCTCATAAATGTCTCAAGACAGATTTGAACGCAAGAAGATGAGTCTTCCTGACTCCAGGCCTGGCACTGGTTCATAGACTTCAGGTTAATAACTCTTGTCTCTAAATTAATATGCCTCTACCTCACCTAGAAACAGTCCCTTTCTCACAGAAAATGATATCTCCAGAACACATGACAGCAGTTCCTATCTGGAGAACAAGGGGTTAGCAGTGAACTTTAATCAACAGTAACAGTCTGTCTATCCTCACCCCCACAGCAAATTAAATCTTAGTCTGCATTAAAAGAATCATCCTTATCTCGAATAAAGGGGTGATTGTCTCCCTGCACTCTCTCTTAGTCAGACTCCCTCTGGAACACGATGTTCAGTCCCAGGTGGCACATTTTCGAATGGATATTCTCCAATTGGATGACATCTAGCAGAAAGAGACCGGGATGGTGAAGGAACTCTATACAACATTCACATGAGAGCATTTGAAGGAACTTGGGGTGTTTAACCTGAGGAAGAGAAGGCTTAGGGGGTACATAACCATTGTCTTCAAGAGTTTGGAAGGCTTTCATGTAAAAAGGGATTAGTCATGTGTTACACGTAGTACTAGTGGGTGGAAATTACAGAGACTGACTTCAGCTAAAAATAAATAAGGAAGAACTCTTTAGCAATTAGAGCTGTCCAAAAACAGAATGGGCTGCCTTGTTGGGGAATGAGTTCCCCGTCATTGGAGGTGCTCAAGTAGAAAAGGAATTTGGTGAGCAACTGAAGAGGCAAAGTACAGTCATATAATGAAAAACAATAGCAATATTAATCAGGATTAATACATGAATGGTGAGACTGGACTCAGGAAGACCAGTTAGGAACTATAGCTCAAGAAGGAAATGATAGTGGGCATGGGAATGAAAAGGAAGAGATGCATCCAAGAGGCATTATGAAGGAAGGAATAATGAACAGATCTTGGTGACATATTTGCTTCTGGGGCAAGGGAGAAGAGTAGTAAAAAGAGGACCATAAGATTGTGAATTCTTTTGTGAAGTCAAACTAGGCTATTTTTTGCCTGAATTCTTATCTAACCTTAAATTACTGAATGGGTGTTGCCTCAGACAAACTGAGACCTGGGAAAGACTTTAGCTTAAAAAGGTCAAGGTCCTCCACCACATCTGGAGTCATCGCCAGTTGTCTTGACCTATGTCTTGCCACTGGACTCCAATAACTCTGGAGGAGAGAATGAGGCTGATGACTTTGCAGAGCTCTACCTCACTCAAATCCAGTTCACTTGCAAGTCGAAATATCACCCTCATGATGTCATTGGTCCTCTTTGAGAATGAAGCCACAACAAGATTGTGAGACTGGGAGACTTGAAGAGTGAAGAGAAAAAGAAACACATAGAAAGGAGTCATTCTAGGGGAGAAATGGGTTTGGTTTAGAAACACTGAGAGAGGAAGCTATGTAGAAATGTCTAATAGATAGGGACTAGAGCCCAGGAAAGAGTTCAGGTTAGAGACAAAGATTTGGGAGCCATCTGTATAATGGGAATAGTTGACTTAAGAGTGGATGAGTTTCCTAAAGGAGTAAGTGAAATTGGAGAAAAGTAGAGGCCTGAGGATTGGACCTAAGGGGGATAGCCAGTGGTTAAGGAAGCAGGAGGAAATGGAGGAGCTAAAATCCTTAAAGAGGCTTTAGATCTTACAAAGGGGACAAGAATTTGTTGGTAAGGCAGCCCCTTCCCATCTACCTGGCCACTGTACCCTAAGGACCTCCAGGCCTTTCAATCCTCCCTGCATCAGGCTTTTCTGGACCAATGGGCCTTTCCATCTACCTGCAGCTGAACCCTCCTGTATACATTGTCTCCTCCCATAAGAATGTGAAATCTTTGAGAACAACAACTATTTTTCTTTTCAATTTGTAGTCCTAGTGCTTGGCATATATTTAATACTTAATACAAAGTGCTTGGTAGATATTAATAAATGTTTTTTAAAATTCTCTCACTCATTTACATTCATTCATTTATGAAGACAGGTTTGAATTGGAAATTTTTAAAGGAACTTTTATACCATGATTTTGGGGGTAATTAAAAGTGATTGGAGATAGACCCAACCAAGGTTCTCTAAGAAAATTAGTCACGTGTCTTGGAGGGATAGATGGGAGAGGGCTTTGTGGAATCAGAACCCTAATAAACCCTAATAAAATTAACCCTAATAAAATAAACCCTAATAAAAACCCTATTTTATTTTGTTGTGCTTCTGCAGAATTGACATCACTGCAAAGGACTGTGGGAAGACTATAGATATGGCTAACGTGAAGAAACAATTTGAAAATGTGTTCCTGTGGGAAAGAATTCTGTCCTTCGACGGGATAATAGTCAGCACCCATCCAACCTGTTTGCTCCCAGAATGTTCCAGCCACAACTAGGTCACCGTGACTCACTAAACAAATCTTCATCAATCTCCTAACTTTGTACTTTCATCTCCCATCATTGTTCTGCTCCATTTTCGTCTTTCAATGCTGAGAAGTTTCTTTTCCTTCTTAACCCAGTTGTAAGTCTCTAAACTGGCCTGTCACAGTACACTTGGTGGGAATACATGGTTGTGAGACTTGATTGCCTGTCCATGGTCCCATTCTCCCCTTGTATATACAAATATACAAATCAGGAAAGTGTAGAGTATTTCATCAATCCCTTGGTTTCAAGGGGATGGACAATACTTTACACCTACCCAACACCATTTATTAAAGACCTTCTGGGATCCAATTAATTATATTTTTATCAATGGAAAAACTAAGACAAACAGATGAACTACCTGGTCAAAATCAGGCCATGTCAGGATAGCACAAGATCCCAGGCATCCTGACTTTTAAGACCATACCTTAATGGCTATAGTGTACCACACCAGATAGCAGGAGACTAAACTATTGGAGAGTTCTTTCAGTGCTCACTAACGAGGAGTATTGAAGTCCAAAGAACAGATTTCCATCTTGTTAGAAGTGACAAACTTAAACAGAAATCATTTCCCTAAACACACACTCCAATTCCTAGAGGGTGTTTTCTGCCCTGGGAGTTATTAGCTCTTCCTATGTTCCATTACCAGTCCACAACTGAAGCAGAAGCCCTTAGCTGCACAGAAGAAAATCAAAACTGGAAACTCTTTGAAGAACTTCTCCTGGACTCTGTTTCCCTAGAGGATCAAACAGCATGGAATTGGATATAATGGGTGTTAGTTTTAGATCAAATAACACAGCGTGCTATTATATCTCTGATTCCAACATCACTAGAATCATCCAAATGAAATCTGCACAGGAATAAAAGGAAAAGAACTAATGAAAGAGGTTTTGAAGGGCTGGCCTTGATGGAGGGGATCAATGTTTATAAATGTCCTTGATTACAATAAGAGAACAGGACCTTAGATTTCTAAGGCTAGTTTCCTGCAATAATCATTTGTTAAGCACCTCCTATATGCAGGGTGTTGTGCTAGGAGCTAAGGATTCACAGATGAAAAATCAAGGACTGCTGTGGAGGAGTTTACAATCCAATGGGGGAAGGGGAAGTGATACAAAACGGACACACAAAAAAACTGATGCAAAGTAGAATATGATAGGAATAAAGAAGACAAGGTGCTCTAGCAAAATTTGAGGAAGGAGAAATCACTTTCAGGTGAAGGGATCCAGGAATGCTTTACAGAGGATGTGGCCCCTCAGCAAAGTCTCTTTCAGTATAAATGTTCTATAATTTTATTATAGAATAGAATATATAGAATAGAAATGGGATTAAGACACCCCTTTCTACCTGCCCAACTCCACTGACTTTTTCCAGGGACCTGACTTTGCTCCAGGACCTAACTTGGTCACTAGGAGTATGTGGGTTTCTTCTACTTAATCTATATGGTGTGGAAACATCAATTTCTCCCTTCATTCTTGGGGAACAGATAGCTATCAATATTTTAGAATACTGACATTCTTAAAGCACAATCATGCTTATGCTTAAAAAGCACAAGTGGCTCCCTATTGCTTCTAGAATAAAATCTGAACCTTTCTGGCATTTAAAGCTCTTAACCAATGGGTTCAATCAATTCTTCTAAAATAATTTCACATTATTCCCCATCACTTACTCTCTGATCCAGCCAAACTGAATTACTTGCTGTCACACATAATATTCCACCTCTGACCTATGAGCTTCTGCAGACTCTATCCCCTTCCTATCCCATGACAAGAATGCTCTTTCTCCTCACCTCTCTTAGCATGCCTCATTAAGCTGAAATGTCACCTACTGCATGAGATCTTTCTTTAAAGTGGCCATCCCCAATTGCTGGCACTCTCCCCACCTACCACACACACCTGAAATCAGGACATATATGCACTTGCATATATGCTTTATTTCTTGATCTCTGTGCATGTTGTCCTCATTCCCTTTCCTCTCTCCATAGAAAGTAAGCTCCTCGAGGGCAGGGATTGTTTCACTTTTGCCTTCATATCTCCAGCAATGTGGGGCACATGGTGGGAGCTTTTTTTAAGGGAGCATTTGCTAAAATAGGAATATGCAAAAGATGGGTGATTTCTTTAGCATGAGGAAATCACAGCCCATCTGTGACACCCTATGGGATTATCTAAGGATTATAGAGGTTAAGTTCCAGGGTCACACAGCTAGTAAAGCTGAGAGGTAGAACTTTAACTCAGGTCCTCCTAATAGAATTTTAAAAACCAAGGAAAAGCGATGCAAACAAAAAAAAATAGAAAGAGAGCTCACAGATCAATGGTTAGCATTTATATAGTGCTTTACGGTCTATAAACACGTATTATCTTACACATATTTCATTTGATCTCTCATTTGATTCTCTTTAATCTTTATGTACTATTGTATTGGGCTAATAATAATGATGATGATGATGATAATAATAGTTGATTGATTATAACTATTCATTTGTTAATTGTTAGTGGTTGGGGGCAGATAGATGGCACAGTAGATAGAGCACCAGCCCTGAATTCAGGAGGACCTGAGTTCAAATTCAACCTCAGACACATCATACTTACTCGCTGTGTGACCATGGGCAAGTCACTTAACCCTCATTGCCAAAAAAAAAAATTGTTAGTGGTTATTCCATTACTAATATAAGCTTGTACAAGGAGAAATAGTTCTTGTTACTGATTTTAGCATTATATCTTCCAATATTAATAGAACTGTCCAACTTAGGGGCAGCTAGTAGTGCAGTGGATAGAGCACTGACCCTGGAGTCAGGAGGACCTGAGTTCAAATCCGGCCTCAGACACTTGATACTTACTAGCTGTGTGACCCTGAGCAAATCACTTAACTCCAGTTGTCTTGCAAAACAAAAGAATTGTTCAATTTATTCCCTCTTATTATTGAATTATTGGTATTAAGATATTGGCAGATTTGAGCTTTAACCCTTTCTTAACTGATGGCTGCTTTTAAGCCCACAATGTTCTTTGTGGATCATTATCCTCTAAGGATGTTTGTTTACATGATCAAAAGAGTTGTCCCCTTGTAGCTAGAGTCAAGCCACAAACTTGTTTTGCCATCACAGCTTAGAGCAGGCCCGCACAACATACAGCCCATGGCCTGCTTGTGGTCCGCCAAAGGACCCAGAAAAATATAAGGTTGCCACTGCGCACTGTCTCCTGTTTGTCATGTGACCCACAGCAACCAACCATCCTCAGTCTGTCTCTAGCCTAACCTATCTGCTGCCCAAAGAAGTTTAGCCTATTTTAATTTCAGCCCCAACCTGCTTCCAAGTTGTGCAGGTCTGGCTTAGACTCTCTCAGGGCCTTTCCTCTCATCTCAATGTAACACCAAAGGCACTCTTAAACCTTTGGTGTCTGATGCTTCCCTCTAGGCCAGCCCTGGACATCTTGTCCTATCTTCAGGACAACAGACTGTTAATTAACTGGTGAATGAACGGGTTACCCCACTTTAGAGAAATGAACAAGTCCCATTTCCATAGGCTTCAATGGCTCCAAAGCAATGTCTCCACAACAATGTTGTGAGGTAGGTGGTATACATTTTATTAGTCTCATTTTACAAATGAGGAAACTTGAGGCTCTAGAGGGTAAAGGCACCTGTCTGGGATTACACAACTAGAAAACATCAGATCCAGGAGTCAAACCCATGTCCTCCTTGATTCTGGGTCCATGTTGCTCATGGAAGGGAAGGGGAAGGAAAGGGGGAAAGGGAGGGAATAAGCATTTATTTAGTGTCTATTATGTGCCAGGATAGGGGCACTTAGGTGGCACAGTGGATAAAGTGGCCAGCCTGGAGTCAGGAAGACTCATCTTCTGTGTTCTAATCTGGCCTCAGATACTTGCTGACTATGTGACCCTGAGCAAGTCAGAGTTCCCTGTTTGCCTCAGTTTCCTCATCTGTAAAATGAGCAGGAGAAGCAAATAGCAAACCATTCCAGTATCTTTGACAAGAAAACCCCAAAGGGAGTCATGACGTGTCAGACATGACTGAAAACGACTGAATAACAACAACAAAAATGTGCCAGACACTGGGCTAAATGCTCTGGAGGCACATTAGCATTTCAGATCTATGATTTCATAGGTCTGAAAATATAAGGCACTCCATACTGAGGAAATTCCTTTTACCAAAGCAGACTGGTAAATGTTCTGTAACTTACAGTCTTAGAAAGCTGCCTGGTACAGTGAGAGCTTGAAGGACTTTCCTGGAGTCACATAGTCAACATGTGTCAGAGACAAGACTTTAACCCAGGCCTTCCTGCTTTTGAGGCTTTTCTGCCCACATCAGCATGCTCCTCCTCTACATGCCAGCATAGTGGGACAGATAACAGATGATAGGGCAACTTTCATTGGGGCTTGTTTGGTGGAGCATAGGCTGATAATGTGCTTTGAGTGTGATGAGTTTGGAAAAGTGGAGGGTTTTTCCCCTGAAATAGAGAGTTCACTCTGTACCATGAAGCCCCAAATTCAGTACTTTATTTAGAATGCTTATTTATAGACTATCCCCAACCCCGACCAGTTCCTCACGTTTACCATCTAAGAGGTCTCTCCCTTGCTGCAAATGATCCCTTTGCAAGTGCCAAGGAATTAAAGAAGGTTGCTAAGGACTCCCAGAAAACAATGGAGCAGCGAACAAACACCCCAGAATATAGAGCGAAAAGAGGAAAACAAGAGAGGTAAAGCTCAGAGAATGATGAAAGAGCAGAAAATCAGAGAAGTGAGAAAAAGCTTGTCAGTGAGAGCTGGTGTGTTGTGAATAGAAGGAGTTCTCCTTTCGGAAGCAGAATCCTTTGGGCCAGGGTCCAGATTCTGCCACTAACTAGTTGTGTGACTGGGAATAAATCATTTTAACCCTGAGTATCAATTCATCTGTAAAGTGGGGATGATAATACCTGTACTAGTTATCTCACTGGATTGTTGTGGGTAAAGTGCTTTGAACCCAAAAGGGGTATGTAAATGGGGGTTATTATGATTTGTGTCATGGGTTGAAACAAGGAACAAGAGGGATTAAATCAGCACTGATGGAGGGAATACTAGTCAAGCTGTTACCATATTCAGGAAGGCAGGGAAGTGAATCTATGGGGTAAAAAGAAAATAGCTGTTGCCAATAGTTCAAAAATGCAATCACCCCCTCTCCAACTCTGAGGCTGCTTGCAGGTAGCATTTACAAGTTAGGACAGCTTGGTTTCTGGACTGCTGTTTAGGCTGGCCTCTCTTTCTCTCTGTCTCTGTCTCTGTCTCTGTCTCTGTCTTTGTGTGTGTGAAGATAGGCAAGAGAGCTGGATGGTAGAGCAGTGTAACTGGGGCTGGGGGTGGGCAGGGGAAGTGGTGTATGTGTTAGGGACTATCAGGTTTGTCTGTGTATCTGTGTTTGTATCCATGTCCTCATATGTTACATTACATATTTTTATGTGGAAGTCTTGCATCAATCTGTGTTGGGATATGCCTGAGGTCTTAGGCTCCAAGAACCACAAAAAGCAGGGGAATGACCTGTGTCTCAAGGTCAGTGACAGTTGTATCCTTGCAAAGACCTTCCCTGTTCTCTCGGGTGCCCTTGTGTCAGAAGCCACCAGACCCTGACACAAAGTATCCAAGTAAAGTATTAACATTTTAGCTTAGGAAGCTTGCTAAAGAAGCAGCAGGATAGTAGTCCTCTAATCAAGTCATAGAGATGGTTTAGCAGATCTGGTATTTATGATCCATTTTTACCTGGAGAAGTCTTATTGGCTGCAAAATGATTTTTACAGTATATCAACATTCTACTGTTGCTTAAGGGATTGCCCTTCTAGGTCACTACAGTATGAAGACACATTCCCTCAGGAATGAACCTCTCAAATTAACAGGCTTCCCATTAGCACATTTCCCCTAAAGATCCTGTAAACCAAGGCAATTGTTAGGCAAATGATATTCAGGAAAGAAAATGCTGAAAAGAATCCTGGGGCCCATCAGTTCAAACTGATCCCTCTCCTTCGTTTCTCTCCCCCCCCCCCTCCATTCACTTCTCCTTCTAGTTGTAACTTAAAAAGTGGCAAATCCTATTTGGTAAATCAGATCTGACTCTACATTCACTATGGCAACATCAATACTGGGTCAGAAAGATGTCT